TAAAAAGGTTAAAAATGCAATAAGAAAATATTCTTACGTATTCTTGATTCAATGTAATATTGTGGAAAGTAATCTGATTCTAAACCAATTTTAGCTAAATCCAGTTGAGTTATCTTATTTCTAATTTTGCTAGAGAACATTAAACTATAAATTGTATGTCTAGATAAATAATATAAATTCATATAATCAAGCGTTTTAACAAATGGATCACCAGAAAGATCTTCACTCCATGGATCGTATCCTATTTATTTGCGATACTATTATTATTATTATCAAAACAGGCAAATGTAACCAAGATCTACCATGAATTTTATGAAAAAACTTGCTTGAATCAAATGAATTCATTGCTATGGTCCACTGTCCAGTAGGAGCAGGATCTGTGATGTTTATTAAAAGCTTAATATAATCTGTTCCGTTCAAACTCATATTGCCTTTTGGTAAAAAGGTTCCAAGTAAAGTACGAGCAGAGTCATGACTATTTGGTGACTTTACTGGTTGTATAATATATTCATTACAAGGAGCTATTACTTTTTTTTTGAACATTTGAGTCAGTTGTGTATATGTAGTACGATATAATAATAATAATAATAATCTACTTACCATCATCATTAAAATTCAAGAATAGACAACTTATGGTAAAACTTTTATCATAAGCAAAATAGAAGGCTACATTTATTCATGTAGTTTGATGTTAGAAAACATTTATCATTTTTTTTTTAATTCAAATAAATATTTTACCTGGTACAATTAGTTTGTCTGTTGAGCTATAGGATATACCAATAGCAGATTTTTCATTACATATCTTAATAATCGATACCACAATGGAAGCAACAAACAATGACAACAATATAAGATCGATAAGAGGGCGAAAACGTGTTCTAAAAGTTTGTAACATTTTTTTTACTTTTTATTTTATTTTAATATGAGTCAAAATGAAAGGAAAAGACAGTTATTTATGTTTGTTCCTCCTCAGAACTTCTCACAAATGAAAAATTACATATTAATCAGGACGCATTTCAAACAATAGGAGAGAACACAAAATTTTAACTCATAATAGAATCAGAACCGATAAAAAATAGATGTAACGCATGATATTATTGTCAAAACTAATTTTCAAAGAAAATTTTCGCTACATATAAAATCTTCTTTAAGGGTATTACTTCCTAATATGAAAACAGTCTATGAGATATTGTCTATTGGCGATTAATTTTGCTTTGTCAATAACTAAATTGACCAATAGGAATGAAGGAAGGTAAATGAAATGACAAAAGCGGGTATTAAAATATCTTGAATCACGCCCGATATGGTGAAGTGGTTTTGACCTCACTTCCTTAAATAAATTTAATAATAATTATTAATAAAGGCGTGGAAAAAAAATTCCAATTTTGGAATAGAACATCTTTTGTCCGATATAAATATTTCGAAAGTCTCATTAGTCTTGCATGTTTTTTGAAAATCTTATTATTTTTGTCAAACGCACCAACCTACAGTTTTTCAAAAAAGGAAATCTTTCACAGTCCGTTTTATAACTATTGCAATATGCAATTTGCATATTGCAAATGCTTGTCTCTGAACTTTAGTAAACTGAATTTTTGGGAAAGGATGAGAACAAAATTGAAATACGAAACATTGTGGCGAACAATTTTTTTTTGTGTTGACACAATTCGTCAAAATGATCAAAACTTTTGAAAAATGTAAAATGTTAAACTAGATGAATGCTTTATGACAGTGACTTCGTCACTGGTGTTACTTGTTATTTACTGTTTTAAAGTCTCTATTC